AGGTCTCCATCGGTGTACCCCCATGTTTGTCTTTTTCTCCAGTATGTCGCTTAGTTCTAGATCAAGAGCACATTGCTCTAAAAAACCTTGTGTTCTCAATCCCTACCCTGCCACCCGTTTGTTACAATTTGTTACCCCTAACCTCGAGAAAGCCGCGAGTAATCGGCCCCCGCTTTACTAACGTTAGTTTTAAGTAATTTTGTACCCAAACGATGAATATCGGCTCCGCAAAGCTACGGCAAATGAGCCTGGAAAAATAAACGCATTATAAAAAAAAAAAAAAAGGCCATGGCTGTGGACTTGGATACATCTTTGTTGCTTCAGATGTTATTCATCATCCATACTAGCTGGTGATTGGTGGAGTGCCCCTTTCTGAACCCAAACTGTTCCGGAAGGAGAATGTTATTTTCCTCGACAAACTTGAGCAAACGATTGAGAATGCTGCCCTCGCGTAGCACACGCATGGGCTTTTATAGAGCAGAAGATGACGATGATACTCGGCGGATGGCAAAGAATGTCTTTCGAAGATTTGCTGCGACCAGCACTACTAAACATAGGACCAACAAAACGAAATGAAATCTTGAAAATCTTTATATTATACATTACCTATGTTAATGAAGCTAACGATAGAATCGATGTTAGTGCACTTGCATTTTGTTTGAGATGCGAATTGTAACCATTTGTAAATAATCTTTTAATAATACAGAAATAAACGATAACTTTTACAACAAAAAAAAATCCTCATTAAACTCTGTCAAATGTATAAAGCGAATCAAAACAAACATAAACTTTGACAGAAGTTGGTTGAGTGATTTTCTTTTAATTCCATTATAATTGTTTTCTGTGGAACTTGAGGGATATTTTGCAGAACTTCAGAGAAATTAGCACTTACCCCAATCCATATACCCAATTTCGTGAACACAGCAAAGGCCGCCATAGATTTATTGATTTGGCTTGCAAGATATTGGAAAGCTCTGACTTGATAGCAAAATTCATCCATCAGAATCATTGTATCACAGTTGATCTCTTATGATTGTTTTGATAAACGTTAGTAGCAAGGAAATTCTTTCAAATTCTTCTAACAACAAACACTTCGCACCATATTTTTTTCTTAATTTATCAATGGAAAACTGCTAACCTGCTCATTTTTATTTCTAGTTGTTTTTTTTTTCTCTTGTTGGTTTCATTTTCAATGGTTTTTTTTTCGCATCCTCCATTTTTTAAAACTAGTCTCTAAAATTTTTCAAACACAAAATTAAAAGTAAAATATGGCCAAAAACCCTCTAGCTTTTCTGTGAGTGTGTGTGTGACTGTTATTTTTTCTTCCACGATTTTTTTTTGTCTTAATTTTTTCTTTCATTCCTTTCCGCTACTTATCTAATGTTTGCCTTCTTCTTGTCTTCATCAACTTGTTATGAGACTCGTTATGAGATTACTAAGTTCTTTTTGTCGTTTTTTTTTGTGTTTGTTTATCCTTCTTGTTAATAGAGATAGCGTTTTAAAGCGAAAAAATGCGAATAATATGGCTTCGAGATTACATACGCGCGTGAGTATTGTTTTGGTTTTGTCCTCTCGTCCATTCTTGTTTCCGAAATTTCGTTCATCTAACACTGTCGACAAAAACCTAGATGATAACTTTTGTTTTCCTCGCTTACAAACTAATTTAGATGTGTTCCGTTTTTTTTTTGTGAGTGTTGATTTGTAACAATGTATGCAGAAATGAAAATTCTAAAAAAAATGAAATTGGCTTGTGATTGATGGTGACGATTTTTTTTTGCTTCCTTCCCACTATCTTTGGTGAATACGAAATGAGTGATTATTTCCTAGTAAATAGTTGAGATATTCCGCGCAGAGTAAAATCAATCGTGAAATGGCAACTTGAGCGGAATTTATTGTTTAGTTTGAGTAATATTTGGTTCCGATTCGTCGATATTCGTCGCTAAATGGCACTCTAGAACGCGCTACGCTTGGATCTGGGTGAGTAGAGATAATAAGAGAAAAGTGTCGATGATGTGAGAGTTGATGATTCGAGTTTACTATAGGAAATGCGATGCTTGACTTTGTCGTTTTGCTACTGCGGGATTATACAGTTTTATTTTCGGTTGTTTACCTCTCTTGTTTGGATAATAGAATTGAATGGTTGTTTCCTTTAGGTTAGGTTTGTATTGTTTTGTTTTCTTGTTTGTTGTTTATCGTCTAAGAATCTAATATCGCTAATGATATCCGCTAGTAATAATGTAAAATAAGTCTTCTCATGTTTTTTTTTCTTCCTCTCTATACTTCGCTTATACGTTATTTTGTTGTATGCTATAATTAATAAGTTGATTATGCTTGGATTATTGCGTTTTCTTTAATACATATAATTTTGCTGCTTTTGTATTCTGTCTTCCCGTCTCTTGTCTTCTCCTTGTTAATGTATCGTAATAGCTACTGTTAAGGCAATAAATTAATGTAATTATAATGCATTGTTCTGCCATTCAATCCGCTTTTATATATATAATAATTTACCTTTTCTTTGTCGGTTTTGTTTTGCTTTAATAATATCCCTCAATAATGTGCAATAAAAATCTTTGTGAAGTCAGATCAGAGCCATGGCTGGTATTTAACTCTGATTCTTTGATCATTTTTCTGCTGCAGGTGACTCTGCATGTGTGGGTGTGAGTGTGTAATGTACTAGTGTGTCTTGTAGTGTGTATGGATGTGTGTCATGTACGTGCTTTATTCACCTTTCTTCTTTTTATTCTTTTTCTCCTGCTTCTCTTAGTTTTGCCTCCCTTCGTCCGTTATTTTAGTTTACATATAATTACTCAATTATTTGTGTTTTCTTTATTTTAGTTTTGTTTTATCACAGTTGATATTTTCGCGTCATTTGTGTCATATGTTTTGATTTTCCTTTGTTTTCTTGTGTCAAAATTTCGAATGCTTATTATGCACCCTCGCATGTTTGCTGTGTGTATTTGTTTGTGTTTGTTACTCCTTTGTATTACATCAAACTCGAAACTAAAACTTTTCCATAGATTTTTTTTACAGAAACACGAAAATAAGAACACAATCTGCCTGCTGTCTCACCTTGTCCTAACTTCGATTAGCATGTATCAACTTAGCGCAATAAAAAATAAATATGCATCGTTTTGTTTAGTTTAGCGGACAGCTCAATTTATACTACCAACAACGATATTTTCACATCTTCCCGTTTGTTTTTGCTCCACTGCGTTCCGTCGTGTTTGTCGCCTTTATCTCCATTCATGTTTTGTGTTGCGTGTTTCTTCTTAGTTTCACTTTACCGTATTGTTATCTTTCAGTGTATCTGTCTGTGGGTGGATGTTTGTTATGGTTTGACAATCCAGCTCACGTGATTTTCATGGCACAATTTAACCGCTTGCTCTGTTGCTAGGGCTGTTTACTTGCATTTGGTATTGTTAGTATCAAATTAGTGTTGGTATTCTTTATATTCATAGTTTTTTTTGCGTTTACCTTATTGTTATAAATTGTTAATTAATAGTTCTACTACGTCTTGGCTACTTTTGTGGATGGGGTGGTTCTAGCGTGGAAAACAGGTGCGATTGAAGTTGCTGGCTATATTTACGCAAGTCGATAGGGTTCTTTGGAATTATAGAAAACAGTGTGCATTTTGTAACAGCCCTCACCCTTAAAGCTCGCCTACACAACATATCCGGACGTTAAAAGTTGTGGAAAATGACAGCAAAATGTGTAGTTCTACTGACGAATTTCTCGCTACGTATCAAATCCGGATGCATTGTGCGAGGTCCTAGGTCTGCATGGCCACTGTAAATGTAACATACTCATAAAAAAATCCGGATTAATAAATTATGGCTGTGATTAATTTTGTTTGCATAATGTTGCGTAAGGACCTCGAAAGCCTAGCCAGATAAGGCTGGGTAATACCAATCTGGAGGATTTTGGTCTGATTCTCGGTTCAGACTTCCTTGGGCACACGCACCGAAATTTAATTATGTAATTCATGTGCTTTATTTTGGTCATTTTTGATATCAGTATATTATAGATATACGACATATATAACCTTCAACTTAGCATACTTCAATTCAAATCTCTCTATCTTTACCTTAATTACCAGCCACATTTGTCTGGAAAATTTACCCACAGCTTGCACGCACGCTACAGTTCCAGCACTTTTAGAGTCCGGGCGATGCGTCTAAGCTCTGATATTGACCGGAATTTCCAAGCAAGGTTCCTTTTTACCTCTATAATGATGCGAAAAAGAAATATTTCATTCTTTCGAAGAGATTTCAGTTTCTAAAAAAATAAAACACAATTTTGAACAAATTTATGACATGCTCAATTATCACGTCCTTGGCTGCTTGAAATCGCAAACGAATGAAATTTGAAATCCTACTAAAATACAAAAATACTTGAACATATACCCATTTCACCCATTGAGAATTGCATATTTGTGAAATCGATGACAGTTCAAGCTGAACATTGCATTAGGTCCTAAGTAACATTGACAGATTCTATTCGTCGACTTTCTCTTTGCATCCCCACGGTCATGTAAAGACATTCCCAGGTATTTTCAGGACATAAATCGATAAAAGAAGCTTTTATCTAGCATCCAATACGACAAACACATCAAGAAACGGTTCTGTGAATAAGTTATTAACGAAAGAGAAAGTCGACGAAGAGAATCGATCAATGTTACTTAGGACCTAATGCAAAGTTCTGCTTGAGTTATTCTGAATCACCCTGTAATGCAGTTTATTTGACCCATGATCTTCCATCAAATTCTTGCATGACTTCTGCTTATTAGTTGGTTTGTGAATATTGGACAGACATTTCCCAAAAAGTTTAAGGGGATTTTTATTTGTGCATAGAATATCCTTATTAGGTTGGTTTAAAATATCCATTTTGTACCACCCCACTCAATTAATTTTAAATCAGGTCCTGATCATTCTCCCAAAATTTGAGCTCATTTGGACGCTAACGCGTACTGTATTGGCCCTTTGAAGTTTATATGGGAAAAGTTAACTTTTAATACTCAATCATATTTGGACAAAGTTCGCTATCTGTACTAATGTGAAACTTTCCCAGCTACAACTTTGCTCAAGATCGCCTTTTGAAAGAACTTCAAGAAAATTATTTAGTCGAGTATTAGTATAAGACACTGCCGAAGTAGTGGAATTAAATGGAAATTACTAATCCTTCTCTTTTTTCTTTATACAGGTACTATAGACGCCCACCTTCATTAGGAACCCAAAGTTCGAAAACCTGTCAACTGTGTGTGTTAATGCATCATATTAATGCTTCAAAACAGCAATGTGAACCGATGTCATGTATGTATTTATAATTGACATCGAATGTGAACAAGCATCTACGTATTCAACTGTGTAATGTAATAATGTGAAACAGAATGCCCGAAAATGTACGAAAATTTTGGTTACCATAAGTCCACGCTATTTCTTAACAGTCAAAAATAGTGCTACCCAGATTTGAATAAACAAAGTTGGAACTGACAAGATGGCAAATGAACAACATCATTCGGATTCAGGACGATGTTGTCCATTCGTCCAACTTTGTTTACCCAAGTTTGTCTAGCCCTACTTTTGAATATCGTAACGGTCTTAGTCACTGAGGTAACGGGTCGGGAATGTAAAAACGGTCGCTCACTGCTGCGCGTTTATATTCGGTGTTTGATGGTCAACTCGTCGGTTTCAGTTTGCTCCGACTACGCAAGTGCTATATTTTTGGTTAGCTTTTTATTTTTATTTTGGGAGTAAAAAAAGTTAAGATAGTGAAAAATTAGAATGAAGCATTGATAGAAGAATACAAGTGTTCAGTTTTTAGTTCAGCGGCGCTCATGTACCGCTTTCCGGGAACCCGGTTCACCGTGATTTTTTTTTCGGTGCAGCACTTCCATCAAAAGTCTAGTGAAAAGTTCGTTCTAGCTGGCTCCAAAAATATCCTCATCCGTCGTGGTATCCGGTGACGAGCCGTTTATTCATAGCTTCCTACCCGGAAAGTAACGAGTGAAAGCTAGAGCAAGATCAGTGAATCGAAAAAAGGAGAAGAAGAGAAAGAAAAAAGCTCCAGTAACCGCAACGGCAAGTGAACGTTCGATCACAGTAGGTGTGGGTTTTTGTTTTTTAATCACCAGAGAGAAGCGTAGAAAAAATCAACATGGTGCAGCAACGGCGCGGCGAGTGCTCGTTGCTCCAGCTTCAGCAGTCAGGAGATAGGTTACAAGAGTGGCCACCCTGCTGCAAGTAGAAGCGGTCGCTCAATCGTTCGGCAAAGATGCAGATATGTGGTAAGTTCTTTCCTTTTATTTTCAAGATTTTTAAAGCTGATTAATTCAACTGGCAAGGAGGGTTCAGCTTACGGGTTTGCTTTTTAGCCTTTGATACATGTTTAGCATGAACTTCATGTCGGAGATGAAGAGGCTAAAAATCTCCTTAATGTTGATTTAAAAGACAAAAATAACTTGTTAAATTGAATGTTTTTGTTTTGTTTTAAAGCCAATCATTATTTGTAGTAGTTAAAACTCAGCCAAGCGGCGCCGGTGGTGTAGTGGTAAGCGTGATTGCCTCTCACCCCAGCAGGCCTAGGTTCAATCCCAGTCGGCGCCGCCGGGATGTTCTGAGGCATAACATCTCTGATCACGCCTTCCTTCGGAAGGGAAGTAAAGCCGTTGGTCCCCGGTTCATGAGTTGATGGGTCGATAGGTAGGGTCCAGGTGTGGGAGCTGCCTTCCTGGCGTCGGTAGCATTGGTGCTCAGCACGGAAAACAAGATCGACGGAAAACAAATCCAAGGAAAAAAAAAAAAAAAAAAAAAAAAAAAAACTCAGCCAACAAACATTGTTGTTTAGGAGTATTGAGGTAAATAGAATAGAACCGAAATCCAAAATTTCTTAAATTTTGGTGCACTGGAACTATTTTAAATTAGTGCATTATATTAGCAAAAATAACCATCTCAGCGTCCCTCAACTAATAGATGTAATGCCAAAAATTTAATTTTTAATATTGATTTAAAAATGGCGATGAATGTCTATGGGATCGGTAAAAATATCAATATGCTTCTTCTCTTCTTCTTGTTCGCATTTCAAGCTTATTGCGTGCTCTCAACTTAGCGTTCTAAATGCACTTCCACAGTTATTAATTGAGAGCTTTCGATGCCAATACCAATGCATGAATTTGTATAGTGTGTGGCAAGCACAATGATACTCTATGCCCAGAAAACGAATCTCTTTCAGATGATGTAGGAAAATCGGTATCTTTTTACTAAATTTGGCTGTTGATCGTTTCTCCTGGAATACCCTTATTCACGGTGGCCACAGAACTGGTAATTAATCGGAAAAACCGGGAATTTGATTGGAACATTAACATATATCGAATTATGTCAATTTTTGCTAAACCTGGATGTTACATTGCTTTTTTATTTATTTATTTCTTTGAAACTTATCTCAGAATATGTTTGCGCATTTCTCAAGGATTTCCTTAGGATCATTTCAAAATGTCGTCAGAATTACTTTTACTTTCAGGATTCCCCTTATACCCCCCCCCCTCTCGGTTACCCGCCTTAATAAACTTTGTATGGTTATTTTGCTTAAAGGCATGTTCATGGTATCATCCAAACCGTTTGTGGAATAGTTCAATAATTTGGGTTATCGTTTGGGTATGGTATTTTTTATTAGGGTGGATGGTAGAACTATCCTACAAATGGTTTTGATGATACCCCAAACACGTCGTTAAGCTCTATCTTATGGTAATTTTTAATAAGGTAATCTTATGGATTTGTCCGGTAATCCATAGAAAAAGTAGAAGGGTATATGCCTAGGGGCACGAACGGAAGCTTGACGTAGGACTGATAACTAATGTGAAGAGCATTTAGTTATTTTAATTGATCATTATCATTATGTATATTATCCTAACTCTTTCCGTTTTTTGAATTATAGGCGTACCAAATTTGTAGTGTTTTTTTTTTCAAAGAGTGAAAGAGTGAAGTGAATCGATCAAAATCACTTGCACCCCTGCTTCCAAGTTTGGTTAATAAAATTCCACACATTTTTATTGAGCAACTTCCATGTGAAATTCCACCCAGAAGCACACATGACATTTATGAGTCAAATGAATGTGTATGTGTGGTTGCACATGGCTTTTATGTGTACATATATTAAGTATGTGACCGACACATTAATATCATTTGTTGATCACATTGCAAAATTTTATATGTAGAAAGTGGACTACCTAACCTGAAACCACCTTCCTACTGCTGCTATTGCTGCTACTGCTGCCTGCTCCCCACGCCGTCCGAAGCGAAAATGAGTTGAGGCTAGACAGCAGCGCTCTTTTATATCTTTTCAGGATAAAGCAGAATGATGTGCAATCAAGCGGTACTCGATTATGACGGCTGGGTTTGGGAAGAACGATTATTTCATGAAAACAGTGGTAAAATTATCACTTTTTTTTCGTACATCGGACAATACTTGACATTACCACTTTTCAATAGTTTCTTGTTAAAAATCATCAGTCTTAAATATTGATATTGATGCCTAGAAATATTTCTGATCAATTGGTGAGAAAATTATTCAAACTGGTCCAGGGGCAGCTGAGTTATTAATGTTCAAAATCTTTCATAATTTTGTTACATGTTCCATTTCACAAAGTGTACCTCCATATAGAAATCACAGACGTAGTCCTACGTCAAAAAAATCGTTGTCGGAATTTTGTGCAGAACACAGAACACCTCCAGAAAATTCTTGAAATTAACTCCACATTTTTCTTTGTATTCTTAAAAGCTCTCGCGATAAATTGCTTTAATTTCTCTCCATTATATTCTTTACAGTTCGCACGGAATATTCCTCGAAATCGTGGTATGCCATGTAGAATTTAGAAAAGTGTTATCCCAAAATTTTCTTGGATTTCACCTCAGAATTCCCTTGAAAGGCTTCTCAAAATGTTCTTGTAGAGGATTTCTTAGAATTCTCTTGAAACTCTCCTTAGAATTCCCTTGGAAATTTCTGCAGAATTTCCTGGAACACTACTAGTGTTCCTTTGGAAATATGCTCAACATTTCCAGTCAAAGTAGTTTCTCCCAAACTTTTTGATGTTGCTTTAAAATTCTCCTAAATTCCTTTGGAAATTCACTTGAAACTATCTTCAAACTAGCTTTAACATCTGCAAATAATTGTTTAATTATATTAAGATTTAGATTCCCCACACACTTAGAAATAATCAATTTTGTACGTGGACGGAATCCGCTTTTGACATAACTTTCGCGTTTTTATGACCTAATTAAAAAAAAAAATACGCTCGTATATGTCAGTCTCAGAGTACCTAAACGTACATGAATTTTACTAAAAGTGCATATTTGCAGCTCTCTTCAAAATTTATCTTTGATTATTCGATTGATTTACATGTAAGAGATTTTCAGCCGTAGGTGATCGTTAGGTGTAGTTTCAGGATTGTAGTCATAACATCATTAAGTTTGCCATTAGGATTCCCTTTCCGAATTTCCTTGAAATGGTACTTCCAATTCCGTCCGATTTGCTCTACAATTCTCCTCAAAACTAATTTGGCATTCTCATCATAATTGATCCAATGCTTCGGAGTGTCAGAATCTTAAAATGTTGTCCAAGTCTGAGATCTTTAAAATAAATCAATGATATCTCGAAAAGATCAAGAATGTGAAAAATTGGCCTCGCCTCAAATTATTGAAAATTTTCCGGCATTCCTTTTTTACCATATTTAGCTGTTTATATGAAACCGGCTAAACATTCTGAGCAACTGGGAATTAATTTTCTTAAATTCAATGGCCTTATAAAATCACTCGTGATTTCTGATTACAATCAATTCACACGCGTGAAATTATTAGAAAATGTCACCAGCCGCCGAACGTGACAGCGACATTGAAAATCAACCGCTCCAGAGTAGAGCCTACTGCGTTCTCAACCGACAGAGACGGTTTAGCATGCTATGAAAACCTTTCTAAAACAAATCAATGATCAGCTTCTGGATAAAGTTTGACATAATAAGCACCAAATACAAGTCTCCCGTAGAGCAATATAGAAAATAATAAATATAGCTTAGGGGTATTGTCAACCTACCCTTAAATATATCGTGAAACTTAATGTAACTTAAACTAACAGTCGACGGCTTTTACTTGTGCAAATAGCAATTAAATTGAAACTAATATAATCAATTACTTAACCTATTACTTTGAGCCTCTTGACGCTTATGGCACAACCTGCGTAACCGCCATACGATAGAACTCAACCCGCAACCTTCTTTCCATCGCTAAACACCTTCGTTTAGAAGCTCCGCGGTCGCAGCCCCCCATCCATTTGACTCTTCGCTTGTTAGGAAATAAATTACTTGCGGTTAAACGGCGGTCCCCTTCTACCATGCCTTCTGTCCCTCCATATACGCACTTGAGAGAGAGAGAGTGATAAGAGTGCTAGAGTGCGAGAGAGACAGTGATTGAGAGATAGAGACTGATTACAGAGCTACCTTAATGTTTTGTTGCTTCCATACGTTTGTTTAAAGGTTTTAAAGTTAATGAGCCTACTAAGAAAGATAGGGGTTTCCTTGCATTTGCATGCCTACTTGTTTGGTTTACTTAGAGAAAGGTGAAATTTTTGTTGTCTTACTTATTGTGTATAATAGAGCTTAAGATTAGCTTTTTTTTGTTTAGCGTGGTATGGCTAGAGTCGCTCACGACTTTATCGAATAAGAGTCCGATTGTATTTTCTATCACTACTTTTCGATCTACTTCTACTGCGTTTCGTTCGGGCAGGAGCCCACCGGTTATCGCTGTCGCTTTCGGAGCTCTGGCCAGTGCTATGCTGGCTATTGTAATTGTTGCTATTGTTGGACGCACTGTTGGGCATGTGTCCCCTGGTGGTCGTGTTGACACCTACCTTGCGGGATATGATGGGACTGTCGGCAGCGCCGGGTCCGGTCAAATATTTACTATTGAACGGTGTCTCAGGACATGGAGCTGGCGGGCTGTTCGGTTCGAAACCGATGTCCTGGGCGAATTCCATGTTCATGTGACGATAGAATTCTTCCGTAGGTTCGCCAGCATGACTGAAGAAATGATTTCCGTTGGGTGGAGGAACTGGTGGCATCTGATCCGGCCGATAGCACTGTTCGTACAGTACAGATCCACTTTCGTAGTCATTCTCCGAGTACATCTCGGCGTTGTTCATCGTCAAGGCTGGATTCATGTGATGCGGGCGGATCCAGTTCTGTGGGAAGCTCGGAATAGGTGGCGGCATGGTGTCCCATCGGTTCGGCATTGGCGGAGGAACGTGATTTTTCCGCATCATTTGCGGTGACAGGGCAGCCGGATTGGTTCGGATCGTCATGCTGGTCGGTGGGCGATATGTACCGTACGGATGGTCTGGTGGTGGTGGCAGTACATCTGATATGTTGATTGGTTCCCTAAGCGGTGCATTGTATTCGCTAGATACTGGACTGTTTGCACATTTCATGCAAGGTTCTTCGGAAATGGTTCCACCCCGCTGGAGTGTAACCGTTGCATATGGTTCCGGTGGAAGAACACAATTGTTCGGTTTGAGACTCTGAGTGTTGTTGGTGAGTTCAGCGTATTCGGATGTGCTAGGGGGGTCTAACGAGTGGGATGGTTTTACCAGAGTGTTCCCATGTAACCAAAGAGTATGTTGCTTGTCTGGGATGATTGTGGTAACAGAGGGGCCAGGGTAGGACGCTTTTACCGATTGTTTTTTGCGAACAGTCCAAAAGATGGCAAAGATCGCTCCACCGATCAGGCAGACGCACAGAATCACGAGAGCCGTTCCGGACATCCACGACGACATCCAATAGCTAGGGGTTGGATCAGTTCTGAAATGGGGTATAGGTGTTCGATTAACATCATGATCTTCTCGAAAATTCCCATAGCTGGGAACGTACTTTGGGTACCTGACTATGTTCTGCGGATCCATGTGTAGCGGTGTTGGTTGACTGTAAGGTCCTGAAACATTTAAAACACGTTTAACAAACAACCTATGCAAAGTTTATTCACTAGAAACTAACCTATCCCTCCGGCGGTCAAGCTAGCCACCTTAGCGATATACATAGCTCCCGGCGTCAAGCTGTTGATGACGACCGATTGAGTAGTAGAATTGAGAATCATCTGTCCGAGCACTTTGTTCGTGGCATTAGATTTGATTTGAATCTGTAATCCAATCTTTTAAATTGCGGAAATAGTCAATTGAATAATTTCAAAATTAATACCTTATAGCCAGTGAGTTCTCCATTGAGCATATGAACTGGTGGCGGTGACCACCGTACAAATGCTGCCGTCGTATTGATAACTCCAACCCTCACGTCAGTCGGTGGTGCCGATGGAGGTCCATCCAGTGTCTTCCCTCTTCGAATGTTGGAAACCGATCCGGACAGTCCCTCCGGGATGCTGGCAAAGATTTCATACTCCGTGAATGGGCGTAGATCATTCAACGTCAGTTCCTTCAAATTACTCGTCGTTACTTGGCTTTCAAACGAAGAGTTGTAGATGAAATTATCCATCGGATCAATAGCAACCCGATAGTACATCCGCAAAGGCATCTTTGTAGCACTATCCGTTACATCCCACGAGATTCCGATGGATCCGGCTGAGATGGTAAACACATTGTTCAGAACGATGAACTGTTCGCTAACCCATCGACTCTGATCATAGGTATGGATTTGCTCCTTACGCGCCTCTAGCGATTCATCCTTGTCCAACACTTTGATGAAGATCTTTTTCACAATGCTGCCCGCTTCGTTGATGGCAGCACAGGCATACCAACCTTCGTCTGCTTTGCTGACCGCCCTCAGTGTCAGTCCACCATTGTCTTCAAAATGGACTACGCTGCTGCTGACCAGGGAAGCAATTGTACTGGAAACTGCTTCCTGTTCATTGGCTGATTCAGTCGTTTCGCGCTTCTTCCGAACGGGATGCGTTCGGGAAGCATGTGGCAACTGGAAAAGCTGCTTTTCAGAAACCGGTTCTATCTTAATTGACCAATTTCCCACCGACTCCGGTGCAAAGGAACGAACGTGATTTTCAGTTGACTTGAGTGAAATGCTACGTTTGGACTTTTCAGACGGCTTGTGGCCAATCTGTGCTTGGGTTTCTGGTTTGCTCACGCTATTATTTACATGTGGCTTGTCGATTCGATCCCAGAATATTCGCACCCCAGGTCGGCCTTTGGCCCGACATGGCAAAGTAATTCCTTCTCCTTCTCTGATGACAACATCTACTGGGGCTTCCATGAAGGTAGGTGCTTCATAAACGTACAAATAGACGGAGATTGTTACATTTCCACCCTCGTTGTGACCCTCGCAGATGTACTTTCCCTCGTCATCCTGACGAGCATCTTCTATTCTTAGCGTATTGTCCAACAGTTTCCTTGACCTTCCCTCCGGAAGACGTCCATTCTCTTTCCGCCAGGTGACCAACGGTTTGGGATCTCCAGCCAGTTCGCATGGAAGATCGAAGCCTTCTCCTTCCAAAACTTCGGTATCATGGGGACTCTTCATTATCGTAGGTGGTGCCAATACTTTCAAATACGCTGGAGGCGTAGTTTTCGTCCCAGCCATACTTTGCGCCGAGCATTCGTACTTGCCCGTATCGTTCGGTTGAATCTCCGATATCATCAAGCTTCCGGAATCTACCATACTCAAACGTTTCCCACTTATGTCCAGCAGTTTTCCATCCTTGATCCACAGTACCGATGGCTCTGGAATACCTCGCGGAGGTGTACAATTTAGAATCACCGGGCCACCAACCAATGCTACCGTATCCTTCGGCATTGCGCGGAACTCATCCTTCAGCATGGCTATTTGCAGTGTCGCATTTCGGCTAACTGCAACACCTGCCGAATTGTGCGCTTCACAGTGATAAACCCCGGCATCTTGTTCACGTTTGTTCTGCATCACCCTAGAAATGGAAAATAAATTTTATTAATCAATTCCCTGCTCGTAAACCCGTATCCAATTACTTCAAAAAGAACAACGACCCCTCGGGCAGTATCACCCGTCGATCGGAGGGCCCGAGCGGGACTCCATTGTGATACCAGTTGATCTCCGGTGGTGGCCGACCGACTGCTTTGCAGTTGAGTGTCAGCGGTTCCTCCTTGGCGGCGACCGCATCTGCCGGATGTTCCTGTATCCGAGGTCGCAGTTGTGCTGCGAATGAATAAAGAAGTGTTTATTAGTAGGGCAACGGCAAATAACTTTTGTAGTTTTTGATAAACAAAAAATTCAAACAAGTTTTTGGTTGGGAAAAACTAGCATAGAATCCGCTCTGGAGATTTTCATTCCTCTTGCGTCATGTCGCGTTGCTATATGCTCTGCTCTATGCATCTTCACACACCGCCTGCGGATGACGAAGCGACAGACGGTGCATTTAGAAAGAGAGAGAGAGAGAGAGAGAGAGTGATATGTACAAGTGGCTACGAAGACTTTCATAATGAAGCTAGTTCAAATATTAGTCTTTTATAATTTGACAATCAAACAATTTCGAGCACTGCATTTTGATAGATGAGGCTTGTACTTCCCATCTTAAGCAAATTGGAAACTGTAAGGCAGATCGACGTATTTTAAGAAAGCTTGAATCCAGTAGGGTGACATTAGCAGGCCATTCACTTCTAATCTTTTATGTTAAAACTGTGAAAAGCAACTGCTTTTGATTCATTTTTCATGATGCGTCGACGATAATAATAAAATAACAACAGAATGTGGAATATCAAGCTTAACTGAACTTGACGATTGCATGTTGAAGATCATATCAAAATAAGCAGTTAGTTTAAAACATTTACATCCGATCGCGACACCAGATCCATCCGCTTTCATATCAAGGAGCTCGCAATGAGCTCAATTTTGCACGATGTGATTATGATGTTATTAACACCAGAATCGGTGCGTTGGATTGAGTACAACTACTTGACCTACCCGATGTATTTTATGAAAACATTTATCAAATAATCCAGCGTACTGTTCCGACGAAGATTCGAGGGTCTTCTGTGAACCTCCACCAACCAACCTTGGTGGAATGGAATTGGGTAATATGCGTAACCGTTTGTGTAAGGCTTTTGGTAACCCTCGCAGGGTGTCCATCCAACCGGGAAATCCGGGAAAAACCGAGACTTTGGAGTTGCCGGGAAAAATCCGGAAAAACGCAAATCTCATCGGGAAAGATCATATAAGTATCAAGTTTGATTTTATCATAGTCTTGTAGGTCATAATTTGTTATTGAAGAATCATTCAAACCTTTATAAAACTTGCAGTGTCACTTGGAATTAATCAATTTATATCATATACATACACTATGTTAAAGTATCAAAAATCCCAAAAATTACAAAAACTCTATTCTTTTCTTTCACTCACAATCTTTTCGCGCACGGGGCAAACGGTGATTTTGCCGTTTTTCCTACTACCATAGCTTACAGAGTTATTTTTTAGAATTTCTGTTTGGTGTCATTTGAAGAAAAATGTTTGAATTCTTTTGCTGCAATTTCCGAGTGAAGAAGTTCTAGTATAAAGCCTGAGCGAGACATATTATGTTACGAAGGTACTTGAATATAAGAAGCAGATTCATGCCAATAAATAAATGTCCTATCTCAAACTCCTTACATGCTCCATCATGCTTGGCATGCAAATGTTTGACACCGGACACAATCAACGAACTAAGATAGTTCGTCCAGAGATCAATTAAAAATAACTTCTGCTCTTTGTGCTATCCAGCTACACCAGATTAGTTAGAACATCGTAGAATACCTCGGTTAGTCTGTAAAACATAAAGATCTGACTCCATACCTCTCACGCCAAAGACAAAGTACTTAATTATCTTCATCCAGCTCAAACATTTCTAGGGGTAATCATCATTATCATGAGTTCAAATTTAAGTCGCAAATGTTTTAAGAGTGTTAAAGTGACTTCATTAAAAAAGAATAACGATCTGAACTCTAGGCATTTTGGAAAACCAAATAATCCAAATCAATGATATTATGGGGCTTCCTGTTAGAATGGTAAATTAAGAATTAAGTCGAATAATCGTATGCCCTGTTGACTCTGCAGAACTTCAAGAACAGATATCCAGGATGATTTTGATAATCGAACAATGTTATTTTTAAACACAATTGATAATTTTAAATTATGTTATGAACGGAGACTCAAAATGCTCAAAAGTGAAAACCAGATTTCGATTAACCTGTAAAATATCTTCAAGAAAATGAGAATGATAAATATGTTTGTAACACATATTTGTATGCCACAAAATGTTGTTTGACTTATAGATCTTTAAGATCTTAACTCCAGGAAGATTAAAAGAAAATAATACTGCGTTTCTCCTGTTCAGGTACTATTAATACATGATTTTTTCGACTTAGAAAAACAACATTTAGGCTTATTTTTGCGTGACTCTTTGATTTTATACAAAGAGTCACGCAAAAATAAGCCTAAATGTTGTTTTTCTAAGTCGAAAAAATCATGTATTAATAGTACCTCTTTGATTTTATACGAATTGAAAAAACGCAGTAGGCTCTGCCCGCGAACGGTTGGTTTTGTTTTCGCTGGCGCTGATTTCATCTGTTTTTCGCATATTTTTTAATTGTACCAAATCAAACCAATATTAGTTTTCGCGTGTGGATAAGTGTAAATTAAGATCTATCACGTCTTAAGCAGTTTTTTTAAGTGATATTGTAATTAACGTGAAAAATCTGGGACAAGAATTTGTTCGAGTAGCTGTGTTGCTGTGATGTCGCGTCGGTCGGTTTTTCATTTCGCTTGTTTTTGGTGCTTTGCCTCCCTTCCAAGAAGAGTTTTACCGGGTATTTTTTTTTCTCTTTTCTTTGTGCTGGCGTTCTGCCTTCCAAGCAAAAATTCGGTGCAAATGAAAAACTTCGAATGTGATTCAAAATGTCGTGTTGCGTTGTAAAAACAACGCGGAAATTTTTTTCGATTACCGCGAGTGAAGAAACCGGTCCTTTTTCGGCGCCAGAATTTGGTGAGATCCATCTGATTTATAATCAATCATAAATGCACATTTCCATATATTACTAAATACGCGCCAGATTTCGAAACATCACATTTCGAAATCTGGAAGTGTGTTTGCAGTACCATTATTCATTTGATAACGGTAGTGTTTACATGCGGGGCTTATTGTATGTGAAAGTAACCTCGGAATGGACGTGAATTACCAGGCATTCTGAAATGGGTTGCTGAATCTGCAGTAGAGCTATCGCTTTCTAACTCCCGGACTAAACTTGCTTTAAATTATTACATCAAGGATTGTTGTAAGCAAATTTCTTCCATAATACCACTGCCGGCCAGTGGGGGTTAGATTGAATACACACACACACACACACTCTTTGATTTTATACGAATTCCATGAAGTTTTTAAGATCTAGATCATCACGTATTGTAGAGCAATTCTGCTGGCAAAAATATATGATTATCTATAAACGGTCAATTTTGAACGTCTTTTTTGTATAAAGCAGAGGTGATTTTTGGGATGGGGTTTTTTTTTTAAATAACCGGGAAAAAACCGGGAATTGAAAAATTGGATTTGAATGGAGACCCTGCCCTCGTTTTTTTAATTCTTTACTATAGAGATTCTTAGTCGTAGGCTCTTAAACTCTCGGAAAGGTTCAGCTTGTAATCCATTGGACGTCACGAGGGTTGTTACAGCTGGTGCGTATTTTGCGAAAAGCTTATCACGAAAATCAATCAATTGTAATATTCAACTATCAATTCCTATCAACTATTAATAATTGTTGTTCAGCAAGTATCTGATCTATATTGTGAAGAATAATAATTAGAAGTAAATGTTACCAAATGATATCACTGTTAACACTTGAAAAATCTAACTTTTTTCACAGACGATTTTCGATATAAATATGTTTTACAAAATATACAACTCATCATTCCCATAAACTTTGCTAAAAAACCCAAATTTGCTAGCATGTCATTTTCATTGAGATTTTAAGTATTATTTATGGAATTCCCCTAAAAATCGATTTTGTGGCTTTGACCTATGTGTTTGATTTTTCCAAGGCAGGAAAGTTTTATTTTTATTTCTTCAAAACATGATGTTTTACATCAATCAAATCTCAAAATGGGTCAAATATTTTCAAAAACTAATACCGTGATGAGATTCTATATATTTTGATGTACATTTCGAGTGGAGGAACACAGTTCTAGAAAGTTGTGGATTTTTTTTTTAAATAAAAAAAAAACTTTCCTGAACATAGTATGCTTTGAAAAATTGATTTTAAGGGGAAATTTGTGTTTTCAGCAAAGTTTATGAAAATGATAAGTTCTACAATTCTGAAGAACATTTCTGACCGTGGACGACGCAATGAAAAAGCCAACAAAACATTTAGTCACTCATGAACAGGTGACTCACATCGCTTGTCTTCGCTCACACCAGCGGCGTTTCTTTAACCTCAATCTACCTGTGCACCAACTATCAAAACATAAACAATTATCAAAATATTGCTTGCAATGGATAAATATTGAGTAAACTAGAAGATTCAATGTATTTTTCAACCGATTCGAGTATGAATATGGCATTAAATCTGGTATTGAAAGTTGGTTCACAGGTAAAAAGTGAGGTTACGCGACACCACTGGCTCACACAACATGTAATTGAGGCATTTTTCCATAGAAAATGCACACAAATCCAGAACAAGGGTAGGGTACTATCGCATAAGAATAATCGTGCTCACTGATCTAATGACTGAGTGCTCGGCTGTCAGTTTCTCGTTTACTTCCCAATCATTCAAACTCTCACGGGGCAGTGAATGATGAGGTGGATAAAATCTCACATTCCTTGCAGAATCTTAATTGAAAACTGAAGGCTGCTTTTGGAGTGGGTTAAGTAATCTCCTTTTAATACGCATTTTTAATAGAAACTAAGCGATCGATTCGACCTCTGGTGGTGAATACGACAACGTCAAAAAGAATGATGTGAACTGACATGTTTGCCAACAAAAGATCATAAACTCGCACATATTGAACATAATCTCCCGCAAGTTACATGCGTACATCCACTGCCTTCCATAGAACAAAAAATGAATATTACTGGTAATGTAAACATTCATGCGTGTAGAATTGTATTTATATTCACGCAAACTAGCAACTTGCAACAAATATTGCATACAATAATTGCCGTTCTAATACATAAT